CAGTTGGGGATAGGTTCCTGGACCCCCCCAGTGGGAATAGCCCATCTCCCCATCTAGGGGGATAGATCTGCAAGTGCGGCCCAGGCCACGCAAGTGGGGGTAGGGATCGGTTCAACGATGTCCAAGGGGGACGACAGGAACGTCCTTGGATTACACGGCTCTGTACCCAAAACAGCACGAGGCAATGTCAGCCACGCGCAGAGGGGGGAGGGGGGAGGGGGGAGGGCTTCTTAGAAGCACCCCTGCTTCTTATAAGGCGCGGGCCTTATCTGCAGATGTAAGGCCGACGCCTTCTAAGAAGCAGCTTCCTTCTGAGAAGCCTTCCCCCCTCCCTTCACCCCCTGGTGCGCGCCGCCAGCAATGGGTGACGACAGCACGTTGCGGCGAGCACCGCCTGGCGATCGCGAGCATTTGACTCGATGAGTTTCCAGAGCACGGGTGCACGTGTTGGTCGGCAGGCGAACGGCCACGACAGTTGGGCTACATGTGATGTGAAGTGAGCATGCGCTTTGGTATCATCGGTTCGGCACCACCCTTATGACGTTTCAACCTACTTTTAGCCTTGATCACCAGAAATTCGAGCACCAACGAAGTACCGAAACTCGAGGGTTTTCACGTGTTGGGCCCTGGGAGACACTCGTTCGACACTCGTTCGACACTCTTTCGACACTCTTTCGACACTTTTCAGGTTGCTCGAAATTATTTCTGGGATATGGTCCTTAAGTGCGATGGGAGCAACATAACACCACCCAAGCATGCGTCGGCCACGCAAGCAAGGGCGACGCACTCTCGGACATATGGTTTGTCAGCTCCGCGGCGAGCGCCTGCTGGCCATACCGCTGGGGAAAAGATATGCGATTAGACGTATGTGCTGTTTATGTTCGGTTAGGACGTGCGCCTCCAAGGTTGGCGCATAGTACTAGTACGTCCTTATGCGTCCAATCGATTGTTACGCCACGCGCGCCTTGGACATGGGCGCACTCCATTGCAAGCTACACTTGGGGGCCTCCTCGGAACGTCCTGGGAACACTCCTGGACACGGAGTGTTTCCCAGAGGTTGCCGCGCCCGCTTCCCTCCCGCGCCTTCCCGCCCATTTCCCCCACCGTCGGGGCCAATAGGCGGAGCGGCCTCTGCACAGCCTGGGGCGCCTTTTCTCTGTTGTGCCCTCTCGGTCGCTCGACTTCTGCACCAAGTGTGCCGTGGCTCGTCCTCGACGAGTCGCCGTCGGTCGAGCCTTGCGCGTCCTCTCAGATGTCCTCCGGATCCTCGGCTGTGCTATACCGTGCACCTGTCCCCGGAGGGTTCCAAAGGGGGTTTTTGGGGAGGGGGTTTTCCCAAGCTAGGTGCGCTCGCGTCATATCTGACATCCTACCCCTCCCTCCCATCCCTTGCTATGGCGTAGATTCCCTCTCTACTCGCACAGTCGGATGTCGAGCAGGGCAATGATCCCGAAAGGTTACGCGATGCATTGTAGAGCACGGCATGGCATGGCGTAGAAGAGCACCGCAAAGCGTAGTATGTCACAGCATGGCGTGGCGTGGGGTAGTGAAGAATTGCATCACAAAGCTTTGCAACACAAAGCATGGCATCGCACAGCGGCCCCGAACATAACATTGCATAGCATGGCGTTGAAGATCAAAGCGTAGCATGGCATAGCACGACGTGGCACTTAAGCACTGCATATCACAGCTTCAGCTGAAGGCATGGCATCGCGCAGCGGAATGCAACCTAGCATTGCATTGCATGCCGCGGCACGGCACGGGAAATGACGCCAGCGCTGCAGCGGGAACACGATTCGGAACGAGCGGAAGCGCGGAAATGAAGCCAGCGCTGCAGCGGGAGCACGATTCGGAACGAGCGGAAGCACGGAAATGAGGCCAGCGCTGCAGCGGGAGCACGATTCGGAACGAGCGGGGCCCGAAAATGAGGCCGGCGCCTCAGCGAGAGCAGTATTTTGAAAAAAATGCAGGCGGAGACCCAAATCCGGGGAATCTTGTGTGTAAAAAACAATACGCGGGGGGGGGGGGGGGGGGGGCGAACGCTCCCAACCCGTCATCAGGGGAAGGAGGAGAGTAGTATTCAGATTGAGTAATTGTATAGAACCCCCCAGGGGCCTCGGAACCTCGGCAAAACAGGGGGTGCGAAGCCCCTGGGGAGGAAAACTCCCTCCTCAAAAGCCCCCTTTGGAACCCTACGGTGTCCCGTCCCATCCCGCCCCGCACTCCCCTGAGGGCCAACCGCACGGAGGGGCGCGAGAGGGAAAAGGGGCAGGGGTTGCCAGCGCTGCGCAGGGCCGTCGTCTACGACGCGCTTGAACTTCATGGACGCACGCCTCCGCGCCTGCGGCGGGCCCTCCCTCTGCACAAGTCTCGGGTTGACCCAAAAGGGGGTCCAGCTGAAATGGGGCGGTGCAAAAGAATTGGTGCAATAGATTTGTGGGGTTGCAATATACATTTGGGGCGTACAACACATTCCGGGGCGCAAATGTATTGCTGGATTTTCGTGAGCAATGCATTATTTGCAATACGATGCAGTACAATTCTCCGGCGCAATACGTTTGCAATACAATTGCCGCAAATCTATTGCACCACCCCCTTTTCAGCTGGACCGCCTCTTGGGTCACCCAAAAAGTCCTGGAAGCTCCGCCGGGGCAGCCCGAGGCGCACACCGGCATGATACTCGGACGCCTGCTGGCGGTGCTTCCGCCGGCGCGCGAGGCGCATCGGGGTCCCGCGGATGTCCAAGCGGTGATGCCGGTGTCGTTTTTGTGGCTCTCAAGCCGCGGCCCACGTGGCTCTCTGTCTCCGGAGGCTGCTCGCGGAGGGTTCGTTGGGCAGGGCTGGGTTCGCTGGGCCCGAGGCCCTCTCCCAGTAGGGGGCCACATGCGAGCCCTACCCCTGCCCGCCACGATTTCTGAGGGGGAGGGTGGGGTTCACTCTGTCCAGCAGCTCCCGAGCGAAGTGAACCCCACCCTACCTCCCAGAAATCGTGGTGGGCAGGGGTAGGGTCCGCATGTGGTCCCCTACCCAGCCCGACCTGAGGCCCCCCAGCTCGGCCTGAGCCAGACCTTCTCGCGCCGTTCCCGTTGCTTCCCCTCGGTTCGCAGGCCTTCTTCGGTCACGGTCGCGGCGAGAGCACGAAATTGGCTTATTTTCACGTGCCCCGGGGCGTCCCAAGAAATTGTGAGGACCTCAGTTTGGCTCGGTTTTGGGATGCTTTTCGGGCTCCCCCCCTCACGCGGACTTCAATCATCACAATCTTGACGCTAGAACGTAGACCATTGAGATGCGACGTCTACAATGAGGAAAGCCTGGGCATCGCAGCGCATTGGCCCCGCAGAGGCACTAGGCTTGGCCAGGCGCCATCCCGAGCACGGGCACGCCTTCTATGTCGCCCGCGGTGGCGAGTTTGTCGACGTGCGTTCGCTCATGCAACAACGCCACGGCTTGAGTTAGGTGGCCTGCCGTCGCAGGAGGTACCGTTGGGCTGATGTGAATCTTTTGAGACATTCGAAGACTTCAATGCCCTGAGCAATGACGCATTAAAAAATACACACAGGTGTACCTGTATATGGAGATTCCCATAATGTGTTTTCTCAGGGACTGGGCCTGCGGGCCGCTCTGGCCGCCATGTGGCCGCCGTCGCCGCCTCGTCGTCGCCCGCTTTGCGTTGCTTCGCATTGCTCTGCATTGTTTTGCATTGCGTTGCATTGCTTTGCATTGCTCTGCAATGCCTGGCATTGTTTGGCATTGTTTTGCTTCGCATTGCTTTGCATGTCTCCCCATAACTTTACATTGCGTTGCATTGCTTTGCGTTGTTTTGCGGTGCCTTGCTTTGCGTTGCATCATTATGTATTACTTTGCTGTTTTGTTGCTTTGATTTGCGTTTGTTTGCATTGCGGTGTATTGCATTGCTTTGTGCTTGTTATGTTTCTTTGCATTGTTGCGCCACATAGATTGCTCAACATGGATTGCACCACCTATGTTGCAATTCATTGCTTGCACAACCTAGACTGCTAATGCAACAACTCATTGTTCGGGGTTCATGCTGGTTAACACATAGAAGTATGCACATACATCTGTGTGTATATACGTATGGTTGTAAGTGCTGCTCTTTGTGTGTCCGTTATGTGCGCAGTTGTTTGTTGCGTTCGTAGTTCTCGGCGGCGAAGCTCTGGAACTTGCTGCCTTCAACATCGGGAAGCCGCTTGGGGGACGGATTCAAGGGGGGTGGGGGCCATGTTCCCGATGAGACGCAGCGCAACATGTACAGAAGCAATGAGGACACAACGAAGCACCATAGACAACGCATACCACGTTGGAACAGTAGCAAACACGCACGTCCTTGCATCGGCGAGGTGGCCGCGTCCTCGCGAGCACTAAGGCGGGGCAAGTGTACTTCGATTCCATCTGGCGTTGCAGACGGGGGGGGGCTGCTCAGTGCGAGTCGGCCAGCAGAACTAAGAACTGAACTGGGCGAGGGAAGCTCAGTATGCCATTCCGACACACAAGCGCAGACGTGAAAACCCAATGACTGGTCATGAGCGCACAGCACTGACCACTGAACACCAAACAACACACACACACATGTAACACACAAGGAACAAGCGCAAGCGACCGTGGCATTATTTGGTTTTCGCCGTGGGTTCGTTGTTTTCTCACTGTTCCCGACCACTCCGTGGTGCTGAGTTGCGTTCTGAAGCAGCAGCGCCCAGCGACATCGTCTCGCCTCCTCCCCCTTCTCCCTCATCCTCGTCATCATCAGCATCATCGTCAGAATCATCATCAGCATCATCATCATAATCATAATCATCATCATCATCATCATCATCATCATCAGCATCAGCATCAGCATCAGCATCAGCATCAGCATCATCATCATCAGCATCAGCATCAGCATCAGCATCAGCATCAGCATCATCATCATCATCATCATCATCATCATCATCATCATCATCATCATCATCATCATCATCATCATCATCATCCGTAACCATTTCAGCTCAAGCCGATTCTCCATAGCCTCTCGCAGGCGCCCCCAGCGGCGCATGGTCGGGAGATGCTTGGCAATGGCGACGGGGGGCTGCCCGCAGGCGCGCGGGCGGGGCGGCTCAGCGCGCGCAGCGCGCAGCGCATGAAGGAGACGGCCAACTAGCAGGAGGAGGAGGAGGAGGAGGAGGAGGAGGAGGAGGAGGAGGAGAAGAAAGAGGAGGAGGAGGAGGAGGAGGAGGAGGAGGAGGAGGAGGAGGAGGAGGAGGAGGAGGAGGAGGAGGAGAGGGTGCGTCCGCGGCTCGCAGAAGTGCACGGGCGCGGCGCCGCCTTGCGGCCGAGACTGCGGTGCGTGCCCACGCGAGGGCCCGCAGAGGCCCGGGCTCCTGGCAGTGGCAGGACCGTGAAGCGGCTGCTCGCCCAGCCCTCCGCAGGGCCGCCGCCGGGCACCGGGTTCCTGGGGACGCTCGGCGGCGGCGCAACGCCGCCTGGCACGCCGCGTGGGTCCTCACGCAGGGCGGTTTCTCGGGCGCGTCGATCGCAGGCCTCGCGTGGGCCGCGGCGGCGCCCCGTCTTGGGGCGGGCTGCGCCATGGCCTCAGGCGCAACGCGCTGCGCGCGGCTTCGAGTCCCCTCACCGCTTCAAGGACCGAGCAGCTGGAGTCTCTGGACGGCAGGCCGCGGGCGCGACTGCCCAGAGGGTTCAGGCACTTGCAGAAGCGGTTGGAGGACCGTAAGGGCATGCACCAACTCAAGCTCGGCCGGGACGTGGACGAGGACGAGGGCGAGGGCCTTTGCGAGGACAGGCTGGAGGTCATGAAGGGCTTGCGCAAGCGCAAGTTCGGTCTGGACCTGGACGAGGACGCGAGCATCTGCGAGGACAGGCTCCAGGGCATGCACAAGCGCAAGCTCAGCCTGGACCGGGACGAGGACGAGGGCCTCGAGGGCAGGCTGGAGGCCTCGAAGGGCCCGTACAAGCGTGAGTTTGGCCTGGGCCTGGGCGGGGACGAGGGCCTCTGCGAGGACACGCTGGAGGGCATGAGGGTCTGCACAGGCGCACGTTCGGTCTGGACCCGGACGAGGACAAGAGCTTCCTCTACGAGGACAAGCCGGAGGACCTGAAGGGCATGCACAAGCGCACCTTCGGCCTGGACCTGGACGAAGGCGAGGGCCTCGGCGAGGGCAGGCTGGAGGACCCTGGACCTGGGCGTGCACGCGAGCCTCTGCGAAGAAAGGCTGGAGGACCTGAAGGGCCTGCGCAAGCACAGTTTCGGCTTGGGCCTGGACGAGGATGAGAGCCCAGGTATGCGAGGACAGACTGGAGGACGGCGGCAATGGCAGCGTCACAGGCTTCCTGTCTGCGGACGAGCTCCTGAAGGCGGGGGCCGCTTCCCGGACCGCCCTCGCAGCGGCCAGCTTTATCCTCGGAGCCCTACTCGAGGCCTCCCCAGGCCTTAGATTACCTTGAGCTCGTTTGATGTCTCTGGCAGCGCGAGCTGCGTACCAGCCCGCGAGCGTTGTGGGTTGAGTCGGCGTGACTGTTCGGATGTCGCGTCTTCCGCTTGCTTCGGTTGGGGCGGGGGTCGGCCTGTCGGCACTCACGCGAATCTGCGAGGGTGCCTTTTCGCACGAGACCGAGCGTTGCCTCCGCAGGGCCAAAGGGTAACGTCTCGGTCCGGGGGGCAGTACGAGCAGGGAGCTCCTGTCCCTTCCAGACGCAAGGGTCAGCAACTTCATCCTCATCGTCACCCTCATCATCAGCATCGTCATCATAATCAGCATCAACATAATCGTCGCAATATTATGCGTTCGCGTTGTCACCAGTCGCATCAGCGTGGGCATCATCATCGGCAGCAGCATAGCATGATCGCCGTCTTCTGTCACGTGTCGTCACACCGCTCACACGCCTCGTGCGCAAATATAGAGCTCCACCGAAGGCCTCGGTGTCTGCGTGCAGATGCGCCCCCACCGCACATGTCGGCACACCCCTCGCTTCGTGGCTCAATAGGGAGCGCCACCGAAGGCCCCAGTGCGTGCGTTCACGTGCGTAACGCGTACCCGCCGCATATGTCGGCCCACCCCTCGCACGTGTCATGGCTTCACAGGGATTGCCACCCAAGGCCCCATTGACTGCGTCCCTACGCGCCCACGCCATTCATGTCGGCACAACTCTCACACATCTCGAGCCCCCGGAGGAATTTCACGTTACGCCCCATCGGATGCGTTCACATGGGTCTTGGCTGTACATGTCGTATACCTCTCACACGTCTCGTGGCCCCACGAGGACCTCCACCAAACGCTTCAGCGGCTGCGTTCGCATGCGTTCCGCAGCTAATTCTGGCACACCTCTCGCACGTTTCGGGGCCCACTGGGACCTCCACAAGGCCCCATTGGCTGTGTTCACATGCGCCCCCGTCGCACATGTCGGCACACCCCTCGCACGCTTCGTGGCCCCATGGTGATCTCCATCTTGGGCTTAAGTGGCTGCGTTCAGATGTGTCCCCCTCTGCACAGTTCGGCACGTGATGTGCGTGCTTTCCGTGGCCCCACAGGGAGCTCCGCTGAAGGCCCCAGCGGCTGCATTCACGTGCGTTCCGCCATACCCTTTACACGTGTCGTGGCTTCATGGGGACCTTCACCTAAAGCCCTTTTGGCTGCGTTCACATGCGCACCCGCCGCGCATGTCAGAACAACTCACACGCACCGTGGCCTCATAGCGGGCTCCACCGCAGGCTCGAGTGGTTGCGTTCGCATGGGCACCCGCCGCTAATTTCGTTTCACCCCTCACGAGTTTCGTGGCCTCGCACCGAAGTCCACCGGAAACTCAAGTTGGCAGGCGTCACGTGTGTCCCCCTCATACGCTTTTTCGCCCGATAGGAAGCTTCTCCGCCGATCCCAGTGGCATGGTTCGCATGGCGGCTGCCTTGTCATTTCGGCACGCCCCCCCACGCGTTCCGTAGCCCCATAAACTGGCTCTACCGAAGGCTCCGTGATGATTCCCGTGCCCATCCAATATTCATTGAGCGCGTTCCACTACTCGCAAAGTGCCGACTCGCAAACGTCCGACAAAAATTGTGCTCTCCTCAATGTCACATATCGTAAATCCCTCGCGGCGGATCCAGGGCATTTGCGAGTAGCTATTTTGCGAGTCGTGGAACGCGCTTGTCAAAATTCGAGGTATCAACACACTCTTCCTGATCAAGTTCCCTCGCGCTAAAAGGAGTTCCAGATCCGTTCGCCTTCGCCTGTCCACGCTACCCTGCGCTCCGTCATTTCTGTGGCGCGCTGCCTGTGAAAAGCGGGCCGCATCCGACGCTATTAGTAGGTTGCTCGCCCCCTCCTTCGCTTCGCCATTGTTGGGTCCTTTGTCAGGCTGATTTTCTGCTGCGGGCCTCCAGAAATGGCCGCCTGGGGGATCGGGAGGCCTCCTGGGAAAACGGCTTCACATTGAAATCGATTGGACTACTTACGGGGTTGCGTTGAACATCGATAAGGAGCCCAAGCTTTTAGGATTTGTTTACTTCCGACTGGGCTTTTACGGAGAGTCATTGGAATCGTTTGGCGCTGAGTCTGCTCAATCCCTATTGAGTCCCGGGTGGGTCCAATCCTTCAGAGATGTTTGGGACATGTTCAATGCCGAAGTTTCCATCCAAATGAAATTGACATCCTATGGATCAGGGTTCTGATCAATCCTTATTGTTATCGCGCAGTGAGCGTTTTCGAACACCGACCAATATTCAAGTGGCTTACTCCACTCCGCCGACCACCATACAAGGAGTGAGTGTTAGACTTAGATACGATCGTGGAAGTTCTATCTTGAGTCAGGAGCCTCCTGGATAAATATGAGGATCTCTTGGGATGCCTCTCTGGGGCCTCTTAGGATATCTTGGGGCATATGGGAGGCGTTTGGGGGCCTCTTGGATGCCTCTGGTGGGCTTCTTGGGGGCGTCTTGGAGGCCTCTTGGAGCCTCTTGGAGAGCCCTCGCGGGCCTCTGGGGGGCTCGAGGGGCCATCTCGGTGGGAAAGGCTCGAAATGTCAGATTGTATTCCTCCTTTTGGGCTTTCTTGGAGCCCTCTTGGGGCCCTCCAGGGGCTGTCTTGGGCCGTCTTCGGGGGCCCCTGGGGCTTTGTGCCCTCTTGGGCCGTCTTGGGGCCTTCTTGGAGGCATCATGAGCCGTTTTGGGGCCATCTTGGGGGCCTTTTGGGCCTGTGGTGAGAAAACAATGTTGTTAAGGGAATGAGGTGATTTTGGCCTCTTGGGGCCCTCTCGGCGATCATCTGGAGGCGCTTTGGGGCTGTCTTTGGGGCCTCGTGGGCCATCTTGAAGCCATCTTGGACAGCCGTGGGGCTACCCTGGACCATCATGACGCTTTCTTCGATTGTCTTTGCGCTCTGTCTGGGCCCTGTTAGGCTGCTTCGGGGCTTTTGGGGGGCTCCGGAGGGCCTGGGGGTGCGTTGACGGGCTCGTCCCCCTCCCCCTCCCCCCCCCCTCTGGAATGGCATGTTGGATCCCAGGGGAGAGGGAAAGGGAGAGGCGGACAGCCACATGTCTCAATCACCTTTTCACCCCCGACAAGCGGGGGTCGGTGGATCTATGGGTTTCCAATTGGAACTGACACCGTACAGGCGAAAGCGTTCAGGCTGTCCATCTGAACCGGCAGCGGGCCGTTGAATTTGGAAGAAGCGATCGCTCTACCCAATCTGCTAAACATGTATGTACATATGTATTGGTATAAGTGTGTGAATGTATGTTTTATAAACATATAGGTGTATGTATAGATGTGTGTATATACATATAGTACAATTCAGTCTGCACATCTAGATGCAATACGTATAACCGTACATTACGGGGGGAAGCCAAGTGGCCCCAATTGTGAAATCAGTTTCGGTTTCCCGTCTTGTCGCGCGTGCGAGCGAGGCGAAAGTGGGCGACGATGTGGCGCCAAGTCAAGCCCAAAGTTTGAGTTTCCGATGTTATCCTCTGATTGCCCAGTGGGTTATCCCGTGGTTGTCTTTGCGTCGTCCTATGGTTGTCGCTCGATTCGTGAATGTCCCGCCGTCGTCGTCTCGCAGTCTCCTTCTGTCTAAGAAGGAGGAGGCGGAGAAAGCCGCAACGATGACACATTTGTTCGGCATTGGTCGAAGCCCTCGAGACAGCGCTGCTCCCCTCGAAGAGACGATCAAGATGGCCTGACGAGACAATGGAGCGCAGCACTGCAGTTGCTCTGGGAAGCAATCAGATCAGGCGTACAGCTCTCTCCAGGCCACTACATTGCGACTGCCAGCGCACACTAAAATGCGGGCAACGGCAACACGCACTGTCGATGCGCAGTGATTTTGGGGAGGCGAAGCTGGAGCCCAGCGTCACCAGCTACTGCGCGTGGATCAGAGCGTGGGAAAAGGGCGAGCAGTGGCAGCGGGCTCTGACGATGCTCAGCGACATGCGGGAGGCGCAGCTGGAGCCCAACGTCGTCTCTTCTACATTGCAGAGCCCCGTGCGTTTCATTAAGGTTCGTGCACCCAGGAAGTCCTCGGAGCACCTGGAGGGCCAGCGCTTCCCGGAAAGGTCTTGAAGGCCTTGGACGTTCTCAGGGCGCCTACGAGGCGGCCTCAGACAGCCCCGTGGAGCCTTCGGCACGCTTTAGGTGCAGCCCACATAGCCTCCCAAACGCCCGAAGACGACGCCGAGGTGGCCCCGAGAGGCTTTACGATGGTTGCGCCGAGGGCCCCCGACAGACAAAGACGTTGCAACACTCCTCCTAGTGGTTCCTAGCGGGCCCCGGAGGCCCAGGACCTTTCCCAGAACAGCACCCAGAGGCACTAAGGGACGCCAAGCTTTGTTAAGCCGGGCCAAGATGGGCCAAAGAGGCGCGGAAGGGCCCCAAGGGAGCCCAAGAAGCTCTAAATAGAGCGACCCCAGAGGAAACCAGGTGCTCGGCCACGCGCTCGCCGTGCTGGCCTCGCTTCTCGCCCCTTGCTCCACTCTCCTCGTTCCTTGATCCTCGCCTGTCTCTCCTCGCTCTTCGCCTCTCTCTCTTCTCGCTCCTGGCTCCTCTCTTGTCACTCCGCCTCGCTCCTCTCTCCTGCCTTTGCGCCTCCTTCTCCTCGGCTGTCGCTCCTGCATACCTGCCCCTCGCCACTCGGTGATCTGCCCTCGCTTCTTCCACCTCCCTCTCCTCCCTCCTCGACCTACCCACGGGCAGCAGGTTGCGTCGTATGGCAGAAGTGCCGAGATAGCAGAAGTACCGAGAAGCAGCACCCCGCAGCTTGCAAGTTTGAGGAGCAACGTGGGATAGCAGCAGCACGAAGCCGCAGCAAGCAACGGCAGTACCGGTAAGGCACAGCAAAAGCAAGTAGCGGCAGCAGCATGCAGCAGGCAGCAGTATTTGCTGCCGCATGCAGCAACATCAGGGGCGAAAGTCTGGCCCGACGTCATCATGAAGGCTTTCTGGAAACATCCCCGCCACAACGTGCTATCTCGGACAGATCTCGTGACTGGCGGGCAACGTGTCACTATTGGTCAGCTCGACGTTGGGCTCAGCGCGTGCGAGAAATGTGTGCAGTGGCGGCGGCCCGCGTCGCTGATACCGAGGTGATGGAAGCGAAGTTGCAGATGGACGTCAGGCATACGTGTGCATACAGACATACAGCATACGAACACACACATACTAACATACATACAAACCAACATACTAACATACCTACATACCTACGTACATACAAGTCGTGCTCACGCTTATGACTCCCTCACAGATTACCTTGGAATCGGGATCTCGCTGCCCTTCGTGGCCCCGTTGCAGCCCTTCGTGGCCCCCTCGCTTTGACTCGTGGCCCCGTTGCAGCCTGTCGTGGCCCCCTCGCTGCCCTTCGTGGCCCCGTTGCAGCCCCTCGTGGCCTCCTCGCTGCCCTTCGTGGCCCCGTTGCAGCCCTTCGTGCCCCCTCGCTTTGTTTCGTGACCAAACATACAACCATACAGATGTGCTTACAACCATGCATGCTTACATGTGTGCATACACTCATGCGTGCACATATGCATGTATGTGCACATATATTTACATACGTATCACCATACCTACACTCATGCGTACACACACATACGTACATACATACCTACATGCAGGCATGTATGCACACATTGAGTATACATGCATGCATGTACACACATACATACATGCGTACATACATACATACATACATACATACATACATACATACATACATAAATACATACATACATACATACATACATACATACATACACATACATACATACATACATAAATACATACATGCACACATACATACATACATACATGCATACACACATACACACATACACACATACACACATACATCCATGCATACCTACATACATACATGCATGCATACATACATACATACACATACATATATATATATGCAGACATACAAACATGCATACACACATACTTACACACATACATACTTACGTGCATGCACACACAAACCTACAGACATGCATGCATACATATACACGTACATGGCCATATGTCGTATTTTTACAAACCATATGCCCAACGCTTCTATACATTATGTGTATACAACTACACACATGCTGCATTGTGGATGCGACCGCGTGCCATTGGTCCCACAACCATTGACGACGGCCCCCAGGATTTCCCAGCCACGAGGCCCGGAAGAGCCCCGAGATAGGAAACAACGGCCACACGAGAGCCCAGCAAGGGGGGCCCAGCATGGCCCCTAGAGGCTTCAACCAAGGCTCCACGATCGCCCTCTTACGGGTCAATATAGGCCCCAGCATATCTTTGCTCATCCCTTCACCCTTCCCCCAGGGATGCAGAATGCCTTCATCTAAGTATCTTCGATCTTTCTCCTGGGGATGCTTTGATGCCCAAGTCGCTCCCCAGAACGCTTCCAAGAGCACCTACGGGGACTATACATTGAGCAGCCCAGGGCACCAACCGCCTTCGAATCAGCAGCAGCATCAGGCGCCGCAGCACCACCAGCACATGGCAGCAGCCGTCATCCAGCAGCGGCAAAAACAAACAATCAGCGAAGTGCAGCAGCCAGCGCCAGAACGTTGTCAGCAAGAGTCGGGAAGATGCAGCAAGAGTCGGGATGCTCCCCGCGCCTCAGGGAGTAGTCCTGGGGGCCCTGGTGAGCCCCCTTCATGCGGTCCTTCAGAGCCCCAAACTCTCCTCAAGATGACGGCACGGCGTCCCCAATAGGCTGAACGATTGCTTATCA